TTAAACTATATTTGGCCTTTAAATTAAATAAGAGCTCTGGGCTACCCTCCACACTGCAAGGGTTAGGTGCTTGTTTTTATCCAGGGTCTAAAATAACAAAGACATACTCATTCAAACCTCGGTCCCACCTGGCTGCTAGACCGGTCCTTGCAGACTTAACCCTTGCAATAGGGGTAGGAGTTTTTCATTAAATCCACCTCTAGTTTTTATCATTTTTCCTTTCTTGCTGCATATATGTGTTTAGTTTTCTTTGATATCTGTGTTATGTATGAGGGGCATAGAGTATGAAGAAACTTCTATTCAGACTTGCTTCTTATAGCTGTGATCTTCGGTGTGTGATATGTACCAACAGTAAGGCCTTGTTCACACCAAATGCAGAGCAGATCCGGTCAGGTTTCTGCACACGCAGTGCAGTGGGTTGTGCCGCTTTTTGATGCGTTTTTGCCGCGTTTTTTATGCGTTCCGGGCCGTTTTTAAAAAAAAGTTTAACATGGGCTTTCAGGCACTTGCATGCGTTTTGCATGCGTTTTTGATGCGTTCCATAGCAGGTAAAATAGGGCTTGCCGCAGTTTTTTCACCTGCTCTGGATCTGCTCTGGATCTGCACGCTGTGATGTGAACTGGAGCTCAAAATACCATTGGAATACATTGGACGCAGTTTTGATCCGGTCTGCACCTGCTCTGCTCTGGATCTGCTCCGCGCTTGGTGTGAACAAGCCCAAAGAGTGGTAGATCGTTCTGCATGGAACCCAGCAAAATGGTAAAAAGAGGGCAGACAAAAATTAAGGGGAAAATGACAAGACTGCATGTATGTCACAGATACAAAATGTGTAATAAGATTTATATGATTTAAAAGCTATTTAATTATTATACACCTTTAGGCAACTGGGGGGCAGTAAAAGCAGTTGGTTGATGTGCGTTTCTGTTGATCTGCTCACCTCCAATGTGATATGGCGGACATACACATTGAAATGGTTGCAGTGAGGCAATTTTAAGTTAGCATGTTGAGTTTGACCGGAGGAACCTCCAGTCAAACTCACCCATTGAAGTCGATAGGATTGTGCCGCAACTGCTTGCCAAACACCTGGCACAATATTCCAATGTAAAATCCCCCTGAGGATAAAAAGAACAAATAAGACATTTAGGCAGCAATTTCTCCTCCTGAATACCTACAAACCGCCATTCAGCCGCTTGCTGATCCACGGCAACAGAGACTGCCAGCAGTGCCATTGGCAAAGTCTGCTGTCCATGTGAATGAGGCCTTAACATAAAGACTTATATTGTATTTCCTTTAAGCCTTGCAGTACATTGTGGCAGATCTGAGTATTTCAGGGACAGCATGGCAGTAGCTTCCATTTTGCTGCGACTTTTATGTATGATTGTTGGCTATGTAGAGACTCATCAGCCTATAAATAGTTCCCCTTCCAACTTCTTTTCCAGTCCGCTTGTCATTGTTTATTTACCGCTTGTTAAATCTCACGCTTGTTTCCTTTTCATTAGTAAATCATGTAAATGGCCATTAAAGTGCATTCTTTCTGCTGCGCGCACGCTAGCGTGTGATCCGCAAGGCTTGATAATTGCCGGGACATGCAGTGGTAATTCTTGACCTTGCTCATGAATGCTCTGTATGCCGTCTGTGAATAGATGCTGCTTACACTGCTGCCTGTGCCAGGGAGCCATTACTGAACTATACGTCCTGCAAAGTGTGCTCACATTAACCGGCTCCCTGCATGAAGAATATATTGTTCTGTTTCCTTTATTATATTTGTTTTACTGCGGCTAAAAATCCTTTGTGCTAAAGCACTTTCCCTTGCCCGGAATCTCCACCGTGTTTTTTTTATATCGGTGAAGAGCTTAAAGCGGACCTTTACCCATAATCTTTACAATAACAACAAACACACCTTTAGAAATGTTTAGTAATGACAATTTACAAACAATATACTTCTAGATAATTGCCTATGTTCTATCGAAAGGTCGGACTTGTCGAGTTCTCCGACTGGTGACGTCACTTCCGGTGACTGCCAGTAGATTTACACGAAATGGAGCTAGTGCGCATGGCCGTGGAATCCTTTTCGAAATCTCGAATTATTGCCACTGCGCCTTCGTGGCGCCGTCGAATTCTATAACCACACTTGGCACTGCACCTGTGCAGCTATCGGCTCCTATAACCTATGGCAAATATAACTTTGTACTAGGTCATAGAATCCGATGAGCCAATAGACACAGTCGCCATTGCGCACTAACTCTATCTGGTGTAGATTGCCTACTGGCAGTCACCAGATGTGCCCTCGCCAGTCGGAGAGCTCGACAAGTTGGAGCTTTCGATAGAACACCGGCTTTGTATTCTGTGCATACTTTATTTCTCTTTTCTTCCCCAGTCTTCTGACAGTGGCCATGTTTACTAAGGGCAGATTACTAGCTCTCCTATTACTTCCTGAAAATCTGGCACATGTGACTAGCACATGTGACCATGCACATCATCTAAGGGAGGAAAATGCCTTTACCTGAGATCTCATGAGATTACAGATGAGATTTCCCAGCAATGCTCCGCTGATGACAAGGCAATCCCGGTGTGCATTGTTTTGGCAAACTGAAGTCATTTTGTCCTTTCAAAGCAGGAAGTGAATGTTCTGCAAGTGTAAGTATTTCATAATCACAGCATTTTACACCTGACACCAGCATTTTACACCTTATGTTATTATTAATCATCATACATAGAGGGATGCATTGGTACAATTTGAATTTTGAGTGTATAGGTCCCCTGTAATGTAACCCCAGCAGGCTACCTGAGACTTGGAGGTTTGTGAGTTTATTATGGGTGTCGCTAACCACAGCAAATTATGTACCGTTTCATCATTGCAAAGGAATGGAGAAACTGCTAAAATCTAGCTAAAACAGCCAAATGTCTGAATATTCAAAAATCGTTGGCCAAACATTGACCGCAGCCAATCAGCTGTGGTACTGTAAGTGTATTCTGACAGCAGTGCTCCTGCTGCTGTCAGAATACAAGAGCCCGGTGCGAGGAGGGATTTAAGCATTTTTTTCTCATTCAGCCTTGTTCGGCAAACATGCTTAGTAAATGGCTAGCTTAAAGCTGAATGCCAGGTACATGGCTAGTTACACAGTTGAAATACCCCATTGGGAGTTTTTACCAGCCAAAGGGTTTGTATTACTTTCCATCTAGCTTGTACACAGGCCTGCCATACAATGTGACAGCGATGGAGTTGGGTTCCCTACCCCAAGAGTGTGATGACTGGTCGGTGAAGGAACAGCAGGCAGATGAGTCAAGACTGCTCTCTGCTCCTGTCAGAATTTTCCCTATTGACATATTTGCACACAGCACCTGATTAGTGCTGCCCCCTCCCTGTCACAGTCTGAGCTCTGATACTAGTATCCTTCCCTCCCCTGACTTCTCCATCACAATCAACAGCACTACAATCAGCCCCTCCCGACAAGCCAGGGTGCTCGGTGTGTTCCTTGATTCTGAGCTCTCCTTTCAGCCCCACAACCAATCACTATACAAATCTTGCCGACTCAACCTCCGTAACATTTCCAAAACCTTTTTTAACAAATGACACCGCAAAGCTTCTAATTCTCTCTCTTGTAATCTCTCGCCTCGACTACTGTAACTCCCTCCTTGTTGGCCAAACCTTTACAAGGCTATCCCCCCTTCAGTCTGTCATGAATGCGCCCGCCACCTGCCTCTGCCAATCCCTCCACTGGCTCCCACTTCCCCAATTTATAAAATTCAAAATACTAACAATGACCTACAAAGCCATCTGCAACTCCACCCCAACCTACATCATCCACCTCATCTCAAAATATCACCCAAACCGTCCTCTCCGCTCCTCTCAATACCTCCTGCTCTCCAGCTCTCTTGTCACCTCCTCGTGTCTTCCATCCTCTGGAATTCCCAACCCCAATCTGTCCGCTTATCTCCTACTCTGTCCACCTTTAGGCGATCCTTGAAAACTCATCTCTTCAGGGAGGCCTATTCCACCTCGATATAGCCGTCCTTTCAGTTCTTTCATGAAATCATCCGAAACAGTTATTACCTTTTGTATCACTTGCCCCTCCTACTAGATTGTAAGCTCTTATGAGCAGTGCCCTCCTACCTCCTGTACTGAAACTGTACTGTTAATTGTATTGTCTCCCTCAGTTTTGTAAAGCGCTGCGCAAACTGTTTGCATTATATAAATCCTGTATAATAATCATAATAGTAATAATAATACTTTAAGGTGAGATACTTACACAAATTGAAATTAAAGTAAATTTAAAAGAGAACTATGGGGTTAGTGTTTTCCCCCATAGTTCTCTTTAGAGTAACGGGAGGACATATACTAACCTCCTCCCATGACCCAAAGCTCAGTATATAGCAGGCTATTGCCCACAATATACTGAGAGCACCGCAGCTGGGAAGGATCCAGACAATACTGTCTGGATCCACCCAGCTGCGTGAGTGACAGCTGGCTCTGCCTATCTAGAGGCAGAGCCAGCTGTGCCCGCCCCTTCCAGTCAGCGCTGGAGGATCGGAGAGGGGAGGGGGGAATCCCTGCGGGGAGCGGTGACTGACAGTCACGGCTCTCTGCAGGGAGATGATCAGGAAGTGCACTCACTTCGCTCACTTCCTGATCTATAGAGCCGACCTGTGACAGCTTTTTTGTCACAGGTCGGCTCTAACTATGAGGATGAGTAAATCACTCACCTCATAGATCTCCTTTAATGACTTCCAAATAAATACGTAACGGCATTTATTTGTGGTTTTTCTATCTATCTGGAGCTCAGTTTGTACTGCACAGCTCAGTATGATTCTCAGTATGGCTGGTGCCGGTATTTCTTGGCGTGTGGCAGGAACACCTCCGGAGTGCTCCTTTCTGTTTCTTGTGCGTAGCTGGACTTTGGCTGATGTGCATAGAAATGTGTTAAACTTTATATGACACTGTCACAGTGTTTTGGAATCTCCAGTATCTGCTGACTATTAATCATGACTTCTTCTTCCAGGAAGATTACGATCGCCTGAGGCCGTTATCTTATCCCATGACAGACGTTTTCCTCATCTGCTTCTCCGTGGTGAATCCGGCCTCCTGCCAGAACGTGAAGGAAGAATGGGTTCCAGAGTTAAAGGAATATGCACCAAATGTACCTTTCCTGCTGGTGGGAACACAGGTAGAGTGTTAGAGGGGAACTCTGCTTCTGTCTGCTTTCTAATGACAGAGCTTTTTATGTAGCAAGTTTTCAGTCCGCTTTGGAAGCTGGAAAAGTTCTTAATATGCGCAGCGACTCCTCTTCTAAACATAATTTGTTGTCGTACCCACCCTGCTTTGGGGTTATTGGCTGTCAGTGGGAGCCACACTGTGTTTGTGTCCACTCTCAGCATTGCAAAATGAGCAACACATTAGGCACAGTGGGAAAGCTCCTACTGGTTCACAGGGCCAGAAATGTATTCATTTTTCTGATTTAAAGTAGAACTGTAGCCTTCCCTTGACAAATATGTACTTCTGCAATCAATTATAAGAGCATCTGCACTTTTTTTTTTTTTTTTAGATCCCCTGCAAAGTGCCACCAATGCCATGATTCTGCCAGTGGAGTCCACCTAATGCAGCTTCCTGTGATTCTGTGACAACAGTGCTGCACTGCTCCTGAATTCCAAGCAGAATTGACACTTTCATGGCAATCACATTGCTATCACATTGGGACTCATAAGCCCACTATGTGATAGCTGATTAGTACAGTAGGAAAGCTCCTACTGGTGCACAAGGTCATAAATGACCTGATCAAAGTAGAACTATGACCCTCCATAAAAATGTGCTGCTGCAATCAATTATAAATGTATATGTGGCTCCATTGTTTAGTTGGTGCCCCTACAAAGTCCCCCACATGCCTGTTTATCCTGCTAGTAAAGTTCAGCTAAAGCAGCTTCATGTAATGAGATGGCAACGATGTTTCACCACTCCTGAATTTTTTTTTTTTTATTGCTATGGCATTGGGGGCTCCTATGCGGCCTGATTAGTAGGGACTGGTTCTCTTTAAGGAGACATTGCACTACAGAGGGATAAGAAGAGATTGTAGGGGACATGGCTATCATGTCTGCCTTTTCTCATCTTCATTACATGGGCATGATGAGATTAATAGTTTACAGAAGAACAATAACATTGTACAGCCAGCAGGAAGTCACAAGGAGCATTTTTGGCAAGATCAACAGGTCACTTCTGTACTTGCTGAAAATGTTTTTAGCTTGAAAAAGAAAACTAATGCAACCACCACATCTAAGGACTGGTGAGCTTATATATATTCAATTTTTTTCTTCTCTTTAGTTATCATTTAATTGTGAAATGCTGAATGAGAACAGTGGCCAAATTCTGGACCTATTATTTTTAAAAATTCTTTATGTGTAGACTAGGGATGCACCGATACCGACTTTTCAGTATCAAGTACGAGTACCTTATTACGAGTATTTTTTTCCCGGTACTCACCGTTACTGAGTATTGATACCGGTGCTGAGTACCCCCCGATTATCAGGAAGTCGGGCGGTGGATCATGACCTTGATTGCTCGTGTTCTAGCGAAAGAACACCAGCTTCACTTGCCAAAGCTGCCTAGCTTCCTGACCAATCAGGAATCCGGGTGTCAAACCATGAGGTGCCGTCCGACTTCCTGATTGGTCAGGAAGCCAGGCTGGCTAGCAACAAGTGAAGCCGGCTTCCTAGTCAATCAGGAAGCCGTGTGGCACGTAGTGACCTGCCTCCTGGCTTCCTGATTGGCTAGGAAGCTGACTTCACTTGTTGCTAGGCAGCGTGGCTTCCTGACCAATCGGGAAGCCAAAACGTGAGTCACGACGTGCCGCCCGGCTTTCTGATTGGTTAGGAAGCCAGGCTGCCTACCAACAAGTGAAGCCGGCTTCCAAGTTAATCAGGAAGCCAGACAGTACGTCATGACCCGCCTCCCGGCTTCCTGATTGGCTAGGAAGCTGGCTCCATGCTCCCTCGGGTCTGCCTGTCAGAGGGAGATCTCCCTCTGACCAGAAGTTCCGGTATTGGAGGTAAGTATCGGAGCATTTGGGCGAGTATGAGTACTCCCCAAATACTCTGTATCGGCACTGATACTACTATCGTTATCGGTGCATCCCTAGTGTAAACCCATTAGAGGCATGGTGACTGATAAATTGTACTTTTAACAAAAGGTTTATTTTGATTCTGAGATTATATTGCGGTTGTATTATTTGTTCATTTTAGAGACGAGAATGTCATTCTGTTTTGATAACAGCCCCCTGTAGTCCCTTACACAGCAGTCAGACTTCTTAAAGCCCATCTCCAGGCAAATAAAAATCTCCGGGCTTCCCCCGAACTGCAGGAGTTGAGTGCTCGTTTTTTTTCTAGGGAACTCAAATGACTTACCTGATCCCGGCACAGCGATCTGACATATCAGTCAAACATGTTAACGTGCTTACGGAGGAGGAAAATAGAGGAATTACCTAATAAGTGTGATGCTACTTCTTCTTTGTCCAGCTCCAGGTTGAGATGTGCATAGAGTGTGACTTTAATTTCAACGCATTGTTGTAAAAATGATTGGATCGGCTTAATGCTTTGCCTTATTCAGCTCAGAATCAGCCAGTTGTTCCCCCCCAAAAAGGAGCCTCAGTAACACAGCCCCGCTCTAAACATCCAGGTTCAAAGTCTTCGGAGCAGTTATTGGGTGCAGTAAAGGTATCTGGGTCAGCTCGTTTTATCTGACTGTGACGGTAACTGTTCTATGTTTTGGTTCTCATTAAATGTCTTATTAAAAGCAATTCTCTAAAGGGGGCACAAGGGCATAGTCTGCATGATCAGTCTGTGATACCGCTTCCTCGCTCTTCTATTTGCTTTTTTCTTCTTCCCGAATATGAACAAAGTCCAAAAAAATGTAATTTTATTTGAATGCTTTGCAGATCGACCTCCGAGATGATCCCAAGACTCTAGCAAAACTCAATGATGTGAAGGAAAAACCCATTACTGTCGAGCAAGGACATAAGCTGGCGAAAGAGGTAAAGAGACGGATTGTATTTGATTGTCATGTCTTTGTGCTGTATGAGTGGAGTATTTTGAAGTAACTGCTTCATTTTATTTCAAAATCCATCTGTTATTTTGTATTGGACGCAGTGAGGCTGGTTTATAAAAAGTCAAAGTGGAGCTGATGGCCATTAAGCACAGCAGCCATTTAGAATGCTTGATTCCAGCGCCAGATTTCCATCATTGGAACCTGAAGACACTCTGCTTTTGGCATCTGAAGTAACACTCATCTTATAGAATCTTGCCCAAACTAATCATTATACTTAAAATGGCCACTTAAATCTGTGGTCACGTGATGCACCAGGTTCCGAGTCTTCCATCTTATACCTAGTGAAGAGGAGGGTCCTGCTTCAGGTGTCCCCGTTACTGTCTTGGTAACATAGACCAGCGCTTTCCAGGCTTTTTTCAGGTATGGCACCCTTTAAAGTATCAAAACCCCCCACTTTCACATATGAGTACCCCTTCACACCAGAAGCCCACTCCTTTTACATCTAAGGACCCCACTCTCATAATAGGATCCCCCCCTTACATCAGAGTCCCCTCATTTCACATCAGGAGCCCTCTTCACATCAAAAGTTTCTTCTTCACACCAGAAGGATTTCAAGGCACCCAGGAGGCGCCACACGGTGCAATGGCAACCTGGTTGAAAAAGGCTGACATAGGCACTTCTGCCAGTGGCGGGGTCCTCTCAGGATCCAGAAAATTACAGTGGCTTGTTGTCACCAAAAGGGGAGGACCGCAGCTCTGGATCCATCAGTCGTCTCTCATGGAAGTGGCACCTGCGAGGGGCATGGACGGTGGACTTAGGAGAGTATAAAAGGGTTTCACAAGCTATATATTGTTTTAATAACTACTGAATGGGTGAGGGGGTGGGAGATGAGAGCTTTGCCCAAAGATGGGCTTTATAGGCAACATGGAAGTTGCCGCTACTAACCTTTCTTTGCAAATGTTAGTTGCCTGGCAACTAAGCCAGGAGGAAGTATGCAACTAAGAACTTTTGGAACACTTTTGTGATCTGCATGCTAGTTGCACATCTGTGACTGAAAGTATTGAAACCAGAGGGTCAACATAATGGCCAATCAGTAAGCATTTTCAGATGGTCAACATTTGCAGCCCCTCATATTCCTCACAGGAAAGGTTTACTTTAACTAATGCAAGGTTTTTATTTTATTTTCTCATTAATCATTATTTTACTACCAAATAGAGACTCGGGCAAAATGAGAGTCACTTGCTGGCCCTTCCACCATCCCACATATGCTTCCATTCCTCTGACTTGCAGGGTGTTTGGTTGCTTTGTTGGAGAAGTTGCAAAATGCTTCTGGCACTGGAAACCCATCATGCTGTGCACAGGCCATTTGGCAGGCCCAAAAATGACATCATCAACCGTGTATAAGCTCTGACACCATCCATCATGGAGCTTACACAGGACTAGGAGATGGTGCATATCCAGTAAGTGGGTAAGGAAGTAGGCTGTCATTAGCCCTGAGTGTATGTTTAGGGATTGTTAATATAATGCATGCATTATCTTTTGGTGACTTGAAAACATAATTTCCAAGTGTAAAAGAAGTAGTTAATGCAAGGAAATAGAAATACCTCAAACTGCTTTAGTGAACTGACCCTAAAGACTAGAGATGCACCGATACCGTTTTTTTCAGTATCCAGTTTGAGTACCGATCTTTCGGTAGTGCCGGTACTTCTATTAGCAATGTAGCATGGAGCCAGCTTCCTGGGCAATCAGGAAGCCAGGCAGCGTGTCATTACCCGCCACCCGGCTACTTGATTGCCCTGAAAGCCAGCTCCATGCTGTTTGGCTGGCTCCATGCTGATTGGCCGGGAAGCCAGCTTCCCAGCCAATCAGCATTGAGACCGGCTTCCCTGCCAATCAGGAAGATGGGTGGCGGGTCATGATTGGCTTCCTGATTGGCATTTATATGAGAACTACCAGGGTTGCAGCTGGGACCTGGCTCTGGCGCTCCACCACTGTCCTGAAATAATTAGTCTGTATTGTTTTAGAAAAACTGTCACATGACAATAAACAAAAATGTATCAGTACTCGTACTTGTAAGTACTCGGCAAGTACCAGTACTCGTACTCGCAAAACTGGTATCTGTGCATCACTTTATTTATATTTATAAAAACAAAATCGTACATTAAAACAGAGATGTACAAATCCCAGGAGCTCTGTGTGCTCCTTACAAATGACAGCTGCCTCCTAATTTTTGAATTTTTCTCTAGTCTAGTCTTGGAGCTCAAAAGTATCGGTACATGTACTCGTACTTGCACCGAGTACTGTACTTGGTATCTGTGCAACCCTAGATAATAGTATCATCATCGGTGCATCCCTGCTGAAGACACTAGGGACAAAGCTCACTTTTGTTCTTTCATCACTTTTGTTCCTTCATCACTTTTGTTCCTGCATGGCCAAGCCGTATCAAAATGACGGGTCTAAGGACCTACACTACAGAAAGCCCTCTGCCCCACAGTGACATGAACAAAGTGTCACGAAGCATTTATGTATGTCAGTGTCTCTGTACTACTCCACTGCAGATGTGGACGAGCTTTTCATCTCAGCAGATTTGAAATGTGCCGACTTTGCATAGCTCAGTTTCGTTCTTTTTTACTTTAAAGGGAATATAGTTTATTAATGTTTTTTTCACATCAACAATAAAAGAGATCAACTTGTAATACTTGTATCACTACAATGTTCATTAGTACTAATGTTAGATACAGAGACTTCTACTATGCCTTGCTACATGGCGGTTGTGCTTTTCTGCGCCAACGTACAACACAAGACTATGTGTCAGCCGACTCACTATAAACAATACACCACTTATGTGGCTGATTCATTGTAAAGATGGAGACATCAGTACAGTGGTACCTCGGTTCACAAACTTAATTCGTTCCACGATTCTGGTTTACCGCGATCTCAACTAGACAAGTTTTTTTTGCATGCTGGCTGGTGAGTGTGCTGGGAAACGTTTTGCTGTTGTATTGTTAAAGCCCTTCCATGTGCACCTTGCTTTAAAGCTGGTGATAAGTTGATGAGTGCGTTTGCCATTTGTTTTGCTCGACTAGAGGAAGCCACAACCAGTGTCAGGGAAGAGAAGATGTTCATCAACTGATGCGGAGTTCACAAACGGAAGCAAAATTTTGCCAAACTCCCTGTTCGTGAACCGAATTGTTCGCGAACAGAAGCGTTCGTGAACCGAGGTACCACTGTAATTGCACTGAACTCCCTCTAGTGGCTAAACTAAGCTTTATACTAGGGATGTTCAGATACCAAGTACGTTACTCGGTACAAGTACAAGTACAGATACTTTTCCAGCTCCAAGACTAGACTAGAGAAAAACTCAAAAGTTAGCAGGCAGATGTCATTTGTAAGGAGCATTGGCCACGGGGCTCCTGGGATTTGTGCATTCCTGTCTTAATGTACGATTTGTTTTTATATACAAAGGGATGCACCGATACCATTTTTTCAAGTGCAAGTACTGATACTTGCCCAAGTACTCACACATACAAGTACTGATACATTTTTGTTTAGTGTCATGTGACAGTTTTTATAAAACAATACAGACTAATGATTTCAGGATAGTGGAGGAGAGCCAGAGCTAGGTCCCAACTGCAACCGCTGCAACCCTGGTAGTTCTCATGAAAATGCCAAGTATCAGCACTGGTATCTGAACTTTATACTACTTTATATTTAGTATAATGAAAAATATGTCAGGTCTAAAATAGTGAAAATATTAATAATATTAACCTGAACCTGCAGCCAGGCTTCTAGACATTCAATGATTTACTTATTCATTTTGTAAACAGATTTTATTTCATAAATATTTTTCAAATATAAAACAACATGGAAACAATCAGTATTACAAGATAACAAGAGGGTACACAAATACACACATACAGCTTAAAATGAGATGGTCCAGCTTATAACACTGCAGATAAAGAAAGGAAGCTTGTCACAAAAACATTATAAATAAAATGTATTTAATAGGCAGCGTCCTATACAAATTTACTGAACACACCTGTATCAGTTTAAACATAATATAGACACTGAGAAGAAGGAACGGGACCCTTCCATTTCAGACGTCCCCGAGCCCATTATCTCCAGCCATTGGGTCCATCTTGAATCATATTTGTGCATTGTGTGGTGTAAAAAACAGGTGCGTTTTTCAAAGGCGATATGCTTGTTGAGTTCTCTTAACCACTCATCTTTAGAGAGATTTACATATTCTTAGCAAGCAATAAATGAGCTTTAAAACAAATCCTCACTGACTTCTTTACCTGCAGCAATTCATCCTCAAAGTTTGCAGCAGAAGTATTACAGTTGTTCTCTCAGCAGCTCAGACCACCCTGCTCCCCTCTCCAGAAGTGACTCTGCAGCCTTACAAATTCTTATGTAAACACAGAGCAGGACAGGAACTGCTTTAGTGTTTCTGCTGATACCTGTGAGGATGAATTCCTCCACAGTGCCTGCAGCTAGAGAGGTCTGCATGGGCTCGTTTTAAAGGTTTGGACTTTTACATAAAATGTGCAATATTATTTATATTACTGATATGTGGCATGTTTGCAAGCAGTAACTTCTGACAACTCCAGCCTCACTCTCCGGTGTAATGTCCCTCGGCGTCCTTATGTCCAATACACTGTATTGGACGGAGGGGGAGCAAGGCTGCAAGGACCAGTCTTGCAGGCAGCCGAGTGTGGATGTTTGGGTGAGAATGTCTTTGTTATTTTAGCTCCCTAGACAAAATGATCACTTAACCCTTGCATTGCCGGGGGGAGCCCCACTGCAAGGATTACGATTTCATATACCTGGAATTCTTCTTTAAAACACACCCTATTTACTAATTGGGGCACTCTGCTATTTGAGATTCATGGACCAGCAGAAAATCTGACAAGACATTGAAGAACTTGCAACATGTTTCTGTACGAAGCAAGTTGCAGTCTTAAAGTTGCGCTATAGCCACGTGTCCATATTCATCATTCCATTTATCTATAAAGGGTTTAGCAATCCACGACAGATTTCGCCATGGCTGCTCTAGGGATTGACCCAATGATGACATTGTTTTGTAGAGTGCACTAGGAAAATGGTATAAGGAATCTGATTGGTTGCAATAGTCCAGAGCACGCTCCAATATTGTCCCGGTGTTGACAAACCAGCCTGCGTGTCTTTATGTTCTCTCTGTGTAATTGTATTCTATGTACAGCCTCAGACAATCCTTACAGCAGGGATCAGAGCCACAGCTTGCAATTCTCTTTTCTTGCCTACTGAACAGGAAGAGAAATTTGTTTTTCAGCAAAGTGGTCGCATTTCAAGGACAATGTATGTTTTGCGTCATCTTTTCTGGACAATTTAACTTCACTAGATAGTTATCGTCTCTCCGAACTTCTGCCTGTGACAGGGGCCTTTTCTTCACGTCTAGTGAGCAGAAATGAGCAGTTCTTATGATTTTCCCTTTTATTCACACATGTAGAGTGTATTTTATAAAGAAAGCCTTGGGGGGAAATGATTTTATTCCTCACGCACAATGCCAATCATGTGTAAATCTGTCATGAGACAAATATAGGCTGTCATTGCTGACTTCCTTCTGAACAATCTAGTTCCCTGGCTGTCCCACCGACCCTCTGGATCCAGTACTTCTCACTGACCCCACAACAGGTTTGCAGCCAGTAAAATTGAAGTGTAATCAGAGTTGCTTATCTGACAACTTTTTCCAATTCACTGAATAGAAGCAGAGAGAGAGTCGGCATGATTGCCAGGCAGCTGACATGTTCAAGGTCAATAATGGCAGCCTTGATATACACTCACTGACCACTTTATTATGTACACCTTGCTAGTACTGGGTTGGACCCCTTTTGTCTTCAGAACTGCTTTAATTCTTCATGGCAAAGATTCAACAAGGTGATGGAAACATTCCTTATAGTTTGGTCCATACTGACATGATAGCATCACACAGTTGTTGCAGATTTGTCTGCTGCACATCCATGATGCGAAGCTTCACCAGCCTGAGCCGGTGACACAAGGCAGGATGGATCCATGATTTCATGTTGTTTACATCACATTCTGACCCGACCATCCGAATGTCGCAACAGAAATCGAGACTCATCAGACCAGGCAACGTTTTCCGATCTTCTATTTTACAATTTTGGTGAGCCCTTGCAAAGTGTAGCCTCCGTTTCCTGTTCTTAACTGACAGGAGTGGCACCTGGTGTGGTCTTCTGTGGCTGTAGCCCATCTCATTCAAGGTTCAACATGTTGTGTGTTCAGAGATGTTATTCTGCATACCTCGGATGTAACGAGTGGTTATTTGACTTACTGTTTCCTATCTATCAGCTTGAACCAGTCTTCCCATTCTCCGCATGAGAATCCCAGCAGATCAGCAGTTGCTGAAATACTCAGACCAGCTCATCTGGCACCAACAACCATGCCACGTTCAAAGTCACTTAAATCCCCTTTCTTCCCATTCTGATGCTCAGTTTGAACTTCAGCAAGTCATCTTCACCGCATCTACATGCCTAAATGCATTGAGTTACTGCCATGTGATTGGCTGATTAGATATTTGTGTTACCAAGCAATTGAACAGGTGTACCTAATAAAGTGGCCGCTGAGTGTATATTTCATGATAGATTTGCTATAAACTTGTGAAATAAAACACGGCAGGTCAATCATTTATACTATGTGGACAGAAATATCACAATACTTGTCCAAATTCTCTTCTTTTTTAATAGATGTTGGAATGTTGATGGTATTTTTTTCAATAGCACAACAGCATTAGTTACGTCCGCTGCACAGCCATCATTCCAATTCATTCAAAGCCCAAACTTTTCTTTCTCCAGAGGTGAATAGAGTGGGAAAAGGGGTACAACATCTGTCGGGGTTTTCTTGCTGTCACTGCTTAGGAGATGCGTCCTTTCTCTTTATCCTAGTGACCACTGTTGTCAGGACAGAAAGTGATGGGAAACCAAAAGTTTTAAAGTTGTCACCAGAACAGTCAGTAAGGAGAATCTTCCAGTGGGGACAGCTGTTCCGATGACAATAAAAAGGGGATATTCTCTCCTTTTCTGTTTTGGCAGGAAGTGGAGAGATCTCCCGACTGGGATTTTACCTCTTCCCTCCTTACTCTATCTAAAAACGAAAACATTTGGCTGTATATAGCTGCAAATGTTAGGATATTCTTTGCTAAATGGAATCAAAGGTCATCCCTTAAAGCTGGAGTGTAGTGTACGCATAGAATACCAAAATCACCATACAATTAAATCGTTTCAATCAAATAATGTTGTTCTTCAGTAATAACTTTAGGACCCAGTGGTTTCATCACTGGGTCTCGCTGTGGCTCTTTGCTCTGAGTCCGGTGGGAAAGGCCATCAGAATCTTCTAAAGGCCAGTTCACATCTGAGCGACGCACACAAACCGCACTTGCAGTGACATTCACTTGATCCCATCGTGCTTAGCAATCCGCACGGTATTGGGCTGCGTTTCCATGGATGCAATCGCACACCAACACGTCAGCAAAAAAAAACACGGGTCGCTCATGGCACAGAAAGGTGTGCGAGTCTTTTCGCCACGCGAATATCACCCCATTGACATTATCGGGGTCACGTGGTTCTGGGCCGCCCAGATGTGAACCTGGCCTAAACGTCCCAGTATACGGTCTCATCTTTTTCATAGGAACTATATGAAAGAACATATGCCTGGGATTTCTTTGAAATGTGCCCACTCTGCCGTTAGGTTGCAGGCACAAAGGGATGCTGCAATGTTTCTTTTCACATAAAGTTTGCGAGCAAAATGATTGATGGCAGAGCTCATAGGGGGGGGCAATAACAGTACAATTTGGGGGAGGAGCGCTTGATATATGATGAGGATCATTCAGACAGCAAATGTGAAGGTGAGCTCAATAAAGCTGCTGCAGCTTTGAAGGTTTATATTGTGTAGATGTGAGTTTGCAGGGTGTTCAGAGTAATCTGTTTCAACACAGGAGAGGTAAGGCTGGGAAAAAAGGTAAGGCTGGAATTAGCTTTGAATATTTTTGGCACTTTCAGAGTTTAAGCTTCTAATTCTCCTGTTGACAGATCGGGGCATGCTGCTACGTGGAGTGTTCGGCTCTGACACAGAAAGGATTGAAGGCCGTCTTTGATGAATCCATTATAGCTATTCTCACTCCAAAGAAAAACCCCATGAAGAAGAGACTAGGCTCGAGGTGTATAAACTGCTGTCTGATCACGTGAAGCACGGACGCAACACCACTCACGGTATGAGTCCCAACGCACACAATACTTGTACCGCAGCTGCACAAAAATATTTTATTGACCTGCTTTTGCAAACATAACGTTTGGTGGCAACACAACGAGGACATGATTGTTCAGCGATGCCATTTCTCAGGGTAATATTTCTATGGAGGTTACAAGTGTCTCTTATGGGGGCAGCACTTGATAAGGTGGCCTGAGTTTCATTGCACAGAAGCTCACATCATCCGCCCGTCCCTGCTATCTTCGTTTGTATGTGAGTTGTTTCCGGTTCCAGTAAATCCAGAATGGCGCCAGGAATAGACTGGCTACATAGCCAAAAGTGGCGCCCAAAGAGCAAGAGATGGGCCACACCTACAGGAAGACAAAGCAGAACAAGTATGGTCAATATTTAGCACAATGGTCGGCATTTCATACTGATGTAATGGTTGTATCTACAGGATTGCTCTGTATCAAGGGGCCTGTTGTTTATCTTTAAAGGGATCTATGTGATGATTGTGAATATGGAAAATGGCTGAAATACTAAACAAATAGGTTTATATTTCCCGGTTTAATGCACTTATCTGCCGCCTCGTGTTTATACCGCAAGAGTGTCCATTAAAATATACAATGCCTTATATATAAAATACAATTGGCATACACAGATTTTAGTTTTTCAGGCACAGTGATATCGTATATAGAGAACTTCCTGCCCTTACTGCTCCTAGGGAGGAAGACAGGAGACAGTGCCAGTAGTTCTGAGATGCTGAACACCGAGAATCTGCAGCTCCACAATGTTACATTTGTTGGTTTAAAATAATTTAAAAAAATATATATCTCTCTAGTATTCCTTCTAGGGTATCTGATAGGCTCAACATTGAAGATTCTGCTGAACAATGAACTTTACAAAATGTAATTATTAAATACATTTGTTAACTAAAATGAACCTGTAGCCAGTTAGGGGGATCTAAATATTCTTAACATGCAGTAAAATAGCTGTACAAAAAAATACTCACTGACCTCTGTAGCTGCAAGTACTGCAGAACAATGCATCCACTCAATGCACATTCATAGCAGAAGCACTGAAGATGTTAGTTATTTTCTTAGAAGCGAAGTTCTTCTTCCTTCCAGAACTCATGTTCTATGTTATTAGAGATGGAAAGGCGGCTTATTTACTGCTGGAAGAATGATTTGAATGAGATCAGTGCTTTTATTGTGATCTTTAAATTGCTCCACAACGTTTGCAGCTACAGAGGTCAGGTGAGGGCTTGTTTCAAAGCTCATTTACTGCATGTTAATATTGAAACACCTGAATGTCCATAGCCGTGCCACAGGTTCACTTTAATCTTAATAATCCAATTAATAGTGCTCATCTTAAAAACATTTGTATGAAAAGGCCTGATGCACCTGCACATGTTTCTGATGCCCCCACTTCCCCAGCCCTTGGAGAAATGGTGTAGAAAGGCCAGCTTCTCACTACACCAGCGTAACGCAAACATGCACTTCCCTCTACCCACAACTCTGCTCCAGCATCCACTGTGATATCCTAACAATGTGCATATACTTCAACTATCCTTACTTCTGTAAATATGTGAAAGCCTGCACATTTCTCTGCCAGTGTAATAGGTAGCTTTAGGATTCATGAACTGGGGCTCAGAAGCAAGTGAAATATTGTCTGCTTTATGGTACTAATGAGATACTTGGATTTGCCTTGTGGTGGCTTCAAGTTGCATCTAGCTACTAATACATTTACATTGATTTGTATGAGGAAGAAATGCCGCTCACATGCAAAAAAAATCTAACTGTATGTCCTATTTAATACTATGGACCATCTTCAAACCATCTGCAGAGCTGCAGCTATTGTGGAACCTAGAGCTTGAATATTACCTGGTAGGTCCTCTCTATCAAGGACCTACCAGGAGCTGAAGGGTCAGAAGTATTCAAGTTTTGGGTGGAAGGTAGTATGTTGAATCTGATATCTCTGCGTTGCAGTTTCCCTGTTTGACTATTCAGGTATTCTATATTACACCTGTCATGTAGGATATATGAATAATACATTGGGGATTGCCATCCTAGTCCACAACAGGTAAAACACAGCAGCTGATCATTTCACTTGCCATCATTTTGCTAAATTGAACCATTGACTTTGATTATACCATGTCTTTGAGTATGGGAAAAAAAATGAAGGCGTGCGGGTGGGAATTATAGAAGCACAATTCATAGTGCACCTTGGCCCTTTAAGGGATAACTAGAAAGTGAATTTACATAAATGATTGCTTCAATTTTCCGTCATTTGTGTTTAGTATTTTGTAATTATATGAACTAGATCAGCTAATATAAACCTAAAGGCTCACAAACAGAAATTTGTATACATAAGATTCTATTTCGGGTGGCGTCAGTTTACCCGGCCATATTGGTGGTGGCATGAGTCAGTTAAAGGAGAAGTAAAGCCAAACCTTTTCTTTTTACTTCTCTTTTGGGTCTCCTGTGACTGAAAGTCAGCATATAGCAGGCTACTGCCCATTATATGCAGACAGTGCAATATTGTCGGGATCCACCCTGCTGCCTGATTGACAGCCGGCTCTGCTTCTCTACAGCCAGAGCCAGCTGTGCCCGCCCCCTTTACTGCTAAGTGAATGTGAGCTTATCTACAATTAACCCTTTCACCTATTACATAACTGAGGCCTTCTAATTTCCAAGTTGTCCAGCACTGTTCTAACCCTTCCCTACTTTATCAAACTAAAAAGCGTTTTGGATGGAGTTCTACTTTAAGAAATGCTTTATATAATTGCAAGAGGTGTGACAGATTTAAGTACCATCTGGAACAGCTGACAGCCCATTTGGCTGGGTGGGGTTTTATTGGGTCATCACTAGACTTCCAAAATCTGAGGCACTCATTATCATCATCATCCTGTAGTTTGTTTGTTTTTTCAAGTTATGATGTAAGTGTTATCTGTTCTATTTTCTATGAATATCTAGGAACAAAGCATTCACTGCACTTGCACCACATCCACCTGATGCCTGAGCTAGGAAAACCTCATAATAGGTCCTAGCACTCCTCGTATGAGAGAGAATGGTCATGTTTCCCCATGATTTGCTCTTAGTGAGGCTGGTTTCACATCATTTTCTAAATATATTTAAATTGAATCTCGTTCACATCCGCTTTTCTACCACATTTTTTAAAATCTGTTGCATTTTTTTTTTTGCAGGAGTCATAACTAGGGATGCACCGATACTGAGCACTTAGTGAGTACTTGTACTCGCCCAAATAATTAACTTGATACTGCAACTGCCGGTCAGAAGGACATTGCAATGAGGGAGCATGGAGCTGTTTCCCAGCCAAACAGGAAGCTGGGTGGTGAGTCATGACCCACCTCCCGGCTTCCTGATTGGCTGGGAAGTCGGCTCCACGCTGCCTCGCGACACTGCGGGAAAACTTGGCTTCCTGACCAATCAGGAAGCCGGGCGGAAGGGCATGATCCGCTACCAGGCTGCCCCACAGTGTCGCGAGGGAGCGTGACGCCGGCTTCCCAGGCAATAAGGAAGACGACTTTCTGATTGGCCGTGAAGCCGGGCCCACACTACCAGTATCAGTACTCGATATCGGGAAGTACCGATAAAAAAAATATCGATTTCAGTGCATCTCTCCATACATTTTCTTTCCCTGACCTACATTATAGCGTGCTGTGACACAATATAGTGTCTTGCGCTGCATTTCAATGCAGCATGTTCCAGTTTCACCAACTGCACACCGTACGTTACGTTGGTGTGAACTTGTCAAATTGGAAACAATGGATTTTTTTCTTGTTATTTATTTGGCCTGCGTTGAGCAGGTGTGAATGGACCCTAAAACTTAAGGCTAGAGGCAGCCCAAATCATTGTCCAATGCCTTATGGATTCACAATCTAGTAATAACAAGATGTTTGATTTATTTTATGATTACGCCTACAGCTTTTAAGCTCTAAAACAGGGGTAGCCAAACTTCGGCCCTAAAGGCTGTGGTGAACCTACAATTCCCATCATGCTTCTGGAAGTCATGCATGTGGCTTATGGAATTTGTAGGTTCACCACAGCAGCAGGGATAATGTTTGGCTACCCCTGCTCTAGAACTTCAGTTTAAATCTGGAAATTCCCTACTTTGATCTATTCATGGCCCCACACAGCAGACAGCACAAGGAAACACCCCCCCCCCTGATGACATCACTATTTTCATTATTATTTAACAAAAGAAAGGCAAAACAGTGATGTCATCCAAAGTGCATCTCTCACAGCAGATATTTGGCCTTCAGCGGGAGATCAGCAAAGGATGAATTTGGGTTGCTTGCTATGGGTTACCACAAGCGTGCATAGACTAGGAGCTTATACTTATCCTTCCCTAGTTCTATGTAACACAAAGGGGATAAGGAAGCCTGTATTTTACCCAATACAGTCCATGCTCTGACAGAAGCATAATGAGGGGGAACACAGCACTGCCAAGTTGACTTTTTCAGCATCTATCAATGTAACCCTGTGCACACAGGAAATCTAATCTTTAAGGGTTTCATCCAGGTCTGTCCTCCTGCTGCTTTTGCTTGGCAGCATCCATAAACACATATCCTGACAAAAGACAGGGATATGATGGGGCTTCATGTATCAAGCATTTTAGAGAAAAATAATCTGTGCTGGTTATAGCAACCAGTCAGATTGTCTTCTCATTTTCTAGCAGAGGCTGGAAAAATGACACTTGCAATCCGATAAAACCCTTTGTCACAAAAAGGAGATTGTGTGTATATCTGACAGAGCTGACTATCGGTACAGGTAAGGCCCCCTGGCAATCCTGTTGATTCCTCATCAGCAGAAGAGGAAAGGTGCAGCTGCATTTCAACCTAATGAAAGTGTCCATTTCACTGGGTTGGCCAGCAAGGAAGACATACCATAGGATAAGGTGAGTGGACGTAGTGATTCTGTTGTTGCTAGCAGGCAGTAGATACAGTAATACCTTGGTTTACAAGTAACTTGGTTTGAGAGCGTTTTGCAAGACAAGCAAACATTTCTGAAAATGTTGCCTTGATATACAAGCAATGTCTTGCAATAAGAGCAAAATTTTGTAGAAAAGCACCACCCGAATAAGGCTGAAGCAGTGCGAGCGATGAGTCTGTTTAACGACAATGCAATGTCACATTGGATAGATTCCTTGTTAAGGTTTCACGAAATGAAAGATTCCATTGAGTCGAGAGATAGCAGTGATTCCGTTAGTGATAGTGAAAGTCGTCCTCCACAATAATCCTCCTCTCTCTTGTCTCCCTCACACCAGCCACGAAGGTACCGGTAATTGGTTTATTTTCTTTATATTTTGTACAGTATTATATTACAGTGCAGTATTGTAATCATTTTAT